TGCCCTCTAGAAGCTCACATCAGTAAAGCATTCTAATAAATTGTGAAATGAGGTGCCTCCGAGTGATTTGTTGATTGGGGCTGCATACTGGCTCCCTGCCGCTGCCTCCTGCCCTTCGGGTATGGAAAGGGGTAGGAGGGAGTTGTAGGCTCCCCCAAGAAGGAGTTGGGGTTCCGGAAAGGAGGGTGTTTGAGGTCACAGGAGCTGCTGCCGCCTCTGTGGCCCTTTGACTTTGGACAAGTTATGGGGGTCACTGGGCAGCAGAGGGGTCTGGAGTTCCCATCTGTTCTGTCGGGGCACTGCCAGGCCCGTGTTGGTTGGGGTATATAGGATGCCGGGTGTGTAGTAACCACACCTGATTTTCTCTGCTTGTGAACTCATCATCACTCCAAGCTAGCAACTTTCAAGGCTTGTCTTCTGCGGGTGGGCCCATCTGGGCATGCCTTCAAGGAGAACATGTAACAGGAAGGCCGCCCACTCTTTTCCAGAAATGGATTGTCTGCTTTCATCACTGGGGGAGGGTCACAGGAAGGGAAAACCTAGTGATGGATGGCATTGGGCACAACCTCTCCCAACCCTGCCCTCCACCCATGAAATAAGAGGTTTGGGCCAAATCAGAGGACTTCGACTGGGGAGCCAGCTGGGGAGGAGATGCAGAAGCTGCTATAAGTAAAACTGTAAGGAGTGGTGGGACCTGTGGATGGCTGGAGAGAGGCCCTGGTCATCCCAATGGCCTGCCAGGGTTCTGCTGCCACCCAGATCTCAGCCTGCACACCTGAGCCCAGCTAGCACTGCTGGCTGACACAAGGACTTGTGATTTTGAGGCTGATTTTGTTATATGGCCTCACTGTGGTGATCGATAACTGATACAGCCCTGTGGGCAAAATTCAGCCCACAGGCCTCCTGTTAGTGACCACGGATCTAGGCAGTTCCCAAGACTTCTTCCAGTTCAGAATGTGATTCTAAGAGAAAAAAACTTAAGCACATTCTTCCCCACCATGGGGCTCTACAACCAGAGAATAGAACTACACTGGGATTTTTTTTTGCTTTCTACTCTGCCGAGCAGTCATGGCTCACCAGCTCGAAGGGCCACACAAGGCCAATCTCCTGGGGTGCAGGCACAGGAGTGCTCACAGCCTGGAGCCAAGGATGCTGGGAGAAGAGCTGGGCGAGCCAAGCAGAACAGCCGTCTGTGAATGAGTCACGGTTCCAAGACAACCAGCAAATGGCCCAGCACCTGCTTGCCTACCCCCACCCGCACCTGCCAGCCTCACTGGGAGGTTTTGGCTGCTGGACAGTTATGGTAGGATGGGCCCAAACTGACCACCCTCCAGAAGAAAGTGACAGATGTTAGTACCAGTAGATCCTGCTCTCCCCATCAGCAGATGTCAACACGTGAAAAATTGGGGTAAATGGAGGGTGCATGATTAGACTCGCACCCAAGCTGGGTTCTCATGGGTGCCAGAGACAGCTGCAAATGCACGTCAGGGACAATTGCCCTGATGCAGTGGGGGCTGCCAGGCCAGGGTGCCCAGAGACAGCTGGATGAGGAGCTGACACGGGGCTCATTCCTCTGTGAAGTCGTACCGCAGCTGCTGGGAATGCTGCCAGCCCACAGGCTTGTGTGGGCCCCGGCTCCAGGGCCACACTGGAGGACCTGCGGAAGGGCCCACCGGGGTCTCGTGGGCCCACCTAGGGATTCCACAACACCAGCCCCAGGCTTAAGCTGACAGTTCCTCTCAGGGGAGCCCCCCCTTTCTCCCTTCTCCTTTTCTCAGCATTCTCTCTGGCTCTGTCCAGGTGGGGCTCAGCCCCGGGTCCTCTTATAACCAGCGCCAAGCAATTGGGCCTCATCTCAGTGCCTCCCGGCCTCTCCTGTATCACCTTGACTTTTTCTCATGGAATATTTTTCTTGAAAATGTAGGTTCAGGAGCAGAGCGCCCCAGCCCCCTGGTGCTGGCGAGAGGCTACTCGGTGGAGCCCCCAGCATGCCTGTGGTATAGGCGCTGAGCTGCGGGCTGGGAGGAAATCATCCTGGTGCCTCTCCAACACCACCAGCTCCAGGCACCGTGGCTGGCCCAAGGTTTGTAGAAAAGGTTTTGTTTATTTTTAAACAAAACCTTGGGGTGTAAGATGCACCTACATCTAAATATTTCTAAAATTGGGTTGTAAGATGCACCTACATCTAAATATTTCTAAAATTGGGTTGTAAGATGCACCTACCTCTAAATATTTCTAAAATTGTTCCATGCTCTCTAATATAGATGAAGAGGTAAGTTTGGTGTGAATGACATGACCTATTCTGACCATAAAAGTAGTACCTTCTAGGTGATTTTGAAACAACCCCAGGGCAGTTTTTATTTTTAAGTTTTATTTTTTTTTTGAGGTGAAATTCATATAGCATAAAATTAAGCATTTTTAAGTGTATAGTTTAGTGGCATTTAGTACGTTCACAATGTTCTGCAATCACCACCTCTATCTAGTTCTAGAACATTTCATCACCACTCAAGGAAACACTGTACCCCTTTAGCAGTCACTTTTTGTCCCCCTCCCCCAGCCCCTAGGAACCACAGATCTATCTACTTTGTCTATGTGAATTTGCTTATTCTGAACATATAAATGGAATCACACGACATGTGCCCTTGTGTGTCTGGCTTCTCTCACATAGCATGACGGTTTTGCGGTTTATCTATGTTACAGCATGTGTCAGTACTTCACACCTTTTTATGGCTGGATAATACACCAGCACATTTTTGATTAAATTCAGGCTGAATGGGCAAGAACTGATCTGGCCAGCCCGTTCTTGGCCCTGTCGGTGGGATCCACTCCTGCTAGGACTCTCAGATGGACTGGAACCCTGTGGTCAGCTCCCAGGAAGGAGGACCCTGGAGGAAACATGAGAACATTAACTCCCCAGCAGACCTCTTGGATAGCCTCACCCACCCTGGGCAAACCCAGAGAGGGGGCCCAGAGCCCAGCGAGCTGAAGGCTGGACAAGGGTCCCTTTCTCTTCTGCACAATGCCTCATTGTGCTCTTCTCTTAGGAGAACAATGCAGCCCTGGCCAGGGGAAACTGAAGACAAAGGGCCTTTTGTGACACCCGCTCCCACCTGAAAAGCAGTACCCAGTGTCACACCTGAAGGCAGAACTGTCCTTCCTCGACTTCTGTCCCCTGAGTAGCTCCCAAATCCAGATGAGGACCCAAGGAAGCTTGGGCTGGCTTGGGCTGAGGGTGCTGGATTCTCCCTCTTCTCCCCAAACAGCTGTGTTGGCTCATCCCAAGAGCTGTGCCTGGACAACGGGAAGGAGAGGTACCGGTTGTGGGTTCCTGTGGAAGGACCTGGAAGCAGGGCATGGGCCATGGCTGTGTTCCTCTGAACCCCGAGGCTGTGAGCCCTCTGGGCACATGCTTTCCTGCTGGGGGCTTGCCAGGATATGGAAGATAAGTTGGCAACATCTTTTACAGGCTCCACTTCAGAGTTGGGCTCCAAAGGAAGGGTTTTTAATGAGAAAGAAAAGGAAACTTAAAAAAAAAAAAAATCACACTGTAAGAAGCAAATACATGCTATTATTCCAACAGCAGTGGAGGGGAGAGGCAACAATGGTGGGAGGGTTCCAGAAGTTGCTGGTCTGGCCTAGATTTAGGGGATCCTATGTCCAGAACCAGTCCCTGCCCTCATGGAGCTCACTCTACAGGTAGTGAAAATACAATTAAGCAAGAAAGACTGATCATTTCACTGTAAAGTATTGATAATTTATACGTCAAAACACTAGGAACAAGATTTAACAACAAAAAACCAGGACAAACATTTGCAATATACGCATAAGAGTAGGATCTTTAATATATAAAGAGCTCTGACAAATGAATAAGAAAAACTCATACCTACCGCAATGATTTGCTTCCCGGTGTCCCACAGTTTAACCAATGACCCTTAGGCCTCTAATGCCTACTCTGTCCTTCACACTCCTTCTTTCCTCTAAGGAATGCCTATGATTCCACCCTCTTGGAACCACCTCTCCTGAGCAGTGTTTGGACTGCTCTATTCTTAGAATGTAGAATTGCCGATGTCCTCGCTGGGGTTCTGCTTGGGTCATTGGTCAAAAAGTTCTTTCCTCCTCTGAGTCCTCAATGCACCTCTTTCCACCGTGGCTGGAGGTCCTCTTGAGAGCCCATAGGAACTCTGCCTATCCAACAAGGGCTTTGCTGACCTGAGCTGGAGGATCTGGCTGAATTTCAAGGCCTGTTCTGTCCCACATTAGCTGTGTGACTATCATCCCAGCATCCTCCTTACACAGTGGAGATGAGAAGTTAGGGAGGGGCACCTGTGAGGCACCTGGCCACACACTCCATGCAGGCAGTGATAGCCTGGAGCCCTGGATTGAAGCTACTGCTCTGGCCTTTCCTCTGCGAGACTGCAGTTTCACACTTTACAGGAGCAACAGAGGGAATACAGGACCCACCAGGGCCTTCTGCTGCCCACAGCCCAGCTGCCCTGAACACTAATCAAGCCCACCCTGATACTAGCTAGACACGACCTTTCCAAGTCTCCTTACCATTGCATTTCTACTTCTGGAGTGCCTTCCACCCCCTCCCTAGAGTGAGGGTCCATGAGCGCAAGCGCCTAGGTCAGGGAGTGCACCGGGGCCCTTTGAAACTTAGGCTGATGAATGAGTGAGTCAATGAATGAATGATGAATGGATAGATGAATGAACGAATGGAGTGGGTCAACCCCTTCCAGGTGGAGTGATGCCTATAATCATCCCAGGTATCCACCTCTTTGCCCTCACTGCTGCAGTGCCCTGCTTAACCTGCGGGGGGCGTACGGGCGCTCAGGCTTGAGGAGCGCTCCCCGCAAATGGGCGTATCCCCCAGGTATGGGCGGGGTCAGAAGAAAAGGGCGTGTTTCCTCGGTGTGGGTGGAGCGTCCTGGCGCGCTGCGCCCCCCGCGCATGCGCCCTGACGGCCCGGCAATGGCGGTGCCTGTGGAGCAACTGAGGAGGCGGAAGGCGAGGGATTGGAGCCCGGGGCATGGGTCTCCGCCCCGGCCGGAGCGTGATCCCGCGGGCTGCCCGGCCCACCTTCGTGCGGGCACCTTCTGGCTGACCAGGATCGTGCTCCTGAGAGCCCTCGCTTTCGTTTACTGTGAGTCTGCGGGGTCCGGGCCCTCATTGGCGTTGCCCCTCCGCGCGCGCCCGCGAACCCCGCCGGTGACCCTGCCCCGTCCCGCCCCCAGGCAGCCCTTCGGGCAAGTAGACTGTGGAACCCCATGTCATACGCTCCCCCTCCGCGCCTCGCCTCCCACCCCAAGTCCGGGGTCTGGGTGAGCTCTGGACGGGGCGAAGGTCCTCGCAGGTGACTTAGCACTTGGCCCCCTGATCCCGCGTCGACTCTCCCAGTCCCACCCGCCGGCCGTCGACTGCCATCCGAGGCAGGCCCACAGACTGAGGGTGGTGATGCATGACCCCCTTGCAGGAGCTTGTCTGGTCTGGGGCTGCGCTGCAGAATCCCCACTTCATTAGCCCGATGCGGGCTGGGGGCAGCAGAGACGTGGGCACTCAGCGCCCTGAACATGACCATCCCTGCCCAGGGCCCTGGAGCCACCTAACCGCAGAAGTAGTGTCTCCACTCAGTGCGCCTCCTAACCCGCCTGCGGGGTTCGATGAGAACTACAACTGACCAGGCTGAGAACTGCTCAGCCCACAGTGATGCAGGGCCTACCCGCCAGCCTGCGGAACCCAAGAGAAGTCAGTCCGCGCCCAGAACGTCCATACCTGTCCTGGCAGCCAGTGCAGAGTCCACCTCCTCTACCCCAATACCTACACCTAGAAGGATACAAACGTCCAGAGCGCGGGAGCAATAGTGGACACACAAGAACACACTTTATAAGCCCAACCTACAGTCATGACTATAAAACCAAACTCAGACTCTCAAACAAACCTGGAAATGAGGGGAGACCAGTAGGAATGGGGAACAGTCCTAAGTCGAGATGGCTTGGGTGAGTAGCAGCCAACTTCTAGAGGGATCCAGAGGATGCTGGTCCCTGACAGTGATTATGTGCTGTAGGCACTGAATGGCTCAGTTTCATCTCTAATTCTCTTCCCTCACACATGGAAGAACACAGAATTACAGCTCTTTGGACAGTGGCATTCTACAAACACTGAGGATAAGGCTGAGCATCCTGTTTCCTGGGATAACTCAGGCCATCTCCTGGTGCACAGAGGACACTCAGTCGTCACTGCAAGACTTTCTGGAGGGATTCTGCTGCGGGATTGCCAATTTGGGCTTTCAGCTCAGCCTTCTCTCTCTTTTAAGTTACATAAAAAATAGTTCTTACAGTGTTGCTTTATCCTCCACAGGATTAAACAGTCATTCTAAACGTTTGAAATGTCACTTAGCAAAAGATGAAATCAAGACAAAGTTAATCTGTGAGACTTTTAATAGACCTTTAAAAGGGGAGCCTATAACTGGGGAAAAACCCCAGTGGCTTCGTTTGCAGAGAGCACAGCTTTATAAAACCTGGCTCATGGCTTTCAAATGAGTGGGCTGCCTTTGATCTCCACGGGGATTCTCTGTTCAACTGAGAAGAAAACAGTTTTGAGCCACTGGGTCAGTCAGATATTTTAAGCCTGGTGCTGAGCACAGAATGACTTGTTTTGGCAGACACATTGTTTTTCTACCTTGCAAGTATATTTGGGGGTAGAATCAGTGTTTTTCAACAGTGTAGAGGAACCAGTCTTCAGTTTTCCAGGGATGAGGTTCTCTGGCTGAGATGGTGGGGGGCAAGTGGGCAGTCATCCTGCACTCATCTCTTTCTAGAAGGTTGGGTCTCACTGGACCGTGAGCCACTTTTGAGTCCCTTAAGTCCCAGGGATTGTCCACAATGCCGTAGGGGCTTTCCACACATTTCACTTGATGCTGAATTTTATAGTTGCTTTTGTGAACTGCTAACCCCACCACAAGGCTGAAAAATGGACCCTTGTCTTATGCTTCTTTCACCCTCTGCACATTTAGTAGAATTCTTCGTGTTGTTAACGTACTTGTCTGTCCACCTGTGAGCTCCTTGCAGCCCAGGCACAGTGTTTCATCTATACCTCTATCTCTGTCTTCTAGGGGTATCTCCTGCTCCATAAAATCTTGACTTTGCAGACAATCTTTATCATTGCTTTGTGTCTCCATGGGATACTTTTCTAACTGTGTTCCCTTCTACTTCCTTCCCCCCTAGTCACCCTCAGCCACTGTGTGTGGACACTCATTTCACAGACTGCACACACACAAGGTGCCCTGGTTCTCTCTCTAGTTGTATTCGTAATTCTTTGGATCTCATGTCTTTTTATTTTTTGGTTTATTCTCTCTTTTTGCTGGAATGTATCCCCAAACAACTTTTCAAGAAAGGGTATAGAGAAGGTGAACTTTCCATGTCTTTTTTGCATGCATGGAAATTATTGAATTGCCCAGGTCTACAATTCTCAAACTGTCAAAGCAATTTTCCTCAGAACTTTGTGGTGTTGAAAAGTCTTCAAGCAGTCTGACTTATGCTCTTATGCAACTTACTAAGTGGAAAGTCTTTCTTCTAGTGACACTCTTCTGACACCAAATGTGTGGGGTTTTTTCTCACAATGAACAATTCTGATACTAACTGCCTGGCAGACCCCACAGGCTGAGGGCTAAGTCCCACAAGACCACCCCAACTTTAGACCCCAGTCATAAGTCCAGGTTGTCACTTGTCCTGACAAGCAAGCTATAAATCGGGGTCCTGTGACCCCCATCTCCAGGTTCTATAATTTACTAGAAGGGCTCCCAGAACTCAGGAAAACACTTTTCTTATGTTTACAGGTCTATTGTAAAGGATACGACTCAGGAACTGTAGATGGAAGAGACGCACAGGGAAGGTGTGGGAAAGGCGCAGAGAGCTTCCATGCCCTCTGTGGAAATGCCAACCTCCTAGTACTTCTATGTGTTCACCAACCCAGAAGCTGTCTGAACCCCCTCATTAAGGTTTTTATGGAGATTCCATTATGCAGGCTGAATGATTAAATCATTGGTCATTGGCCAACAGCTCAGTCTCCAGGCTCTTCTCCTCCAAGGAGGTCAGGGTCAGGGCTGAAAGTGCCAGCCCCCTAGTTACAAGGTGGGTTCCTCTGGCAACTAGCCCCCACCCTCTAAGAGTTACCTCATTGGTTTAACTCAGGTAAGATTGAGAGGGGCTTGTTAATGAATAACAACAGATGCTCCTCTCACTCCATCATGCAGGAAATCCCAGAGTTTTAGGAGCTCTGTGCCAGGACCAGGGATGAAGACCAATTAAATATTTCTTATATGACAGGATCACAGAGACTTATTTTTCCCTCTGGAAGCCTTAAGAGGCTGTGCTGCCTTGTTATCCTTTCCCCATCATCACTCTGGGTCCTCGTTATTTATTGGCAGGTCTATGTGAGGTCCCTTCCTCGTTCCTTGGTGGCCTCAGCAAATCTCAAGACTCCTGGCCTATTCTGTATGAGATTCTCTGGCCCCACCCAGTCTGCCACCTTGAGGCCTCATGGAACTCCCAGATATACCCCACAGGGAAACCACTGACCCAGTAAGCCTCCTTGTTTGGCAGAGCCTGAAAAGCCTCTTTATGAAGCTAAGTGAGGATCTGATGGAGAAGAAGATGGGCTCCTTTCGGGACCTGGCATTGTGCCCCCACGTGGAACCCACTTCTGTGACTGCCATGACCATCTAAGTAATGGTGACTGTGTCGTGGGGATCTCCAGAAGGAGCTGTGAGCATTGGAGCCAACAGAGGACTTATGACACCTAAGCAGTTTCACATTGTTACCACAGATTCTCTGCAATAAAATTTCTTTAAAAATCCAACTTTGAAAGGATCTCAAAGCTAGTTTCAGCCCAACTCTAACTCCTGGTTTAGAGTACCTTGTTATGGTTTAGATGCATTGTGCGATACCATGCTTGTCGTGTGTTTTGTGCATGGTACCAGTCCATAGCCTCTTAGGAACTGGGCCACACAGCAGGTGAGTGAGCAAAGCTTCATTTGTATTTGCAGCTGCTCCCCAGTGCTAGCATCACAGCCTGAGCTCCACTTCAGATCATCAGGCATTAGATTCTCATAGGAATACCAGTCCCTGGTACCCAAAAGGTTGGGGACTGCTGTAGTAGAGAGTTTTGTTATTAACACTCCTTATTTGAGTACTGTACTCTAAGGTGAATCTCAGTCGCACTTTTTAAAAATGGTAGCTCGTTATGCTCTTGGTCATGACAAATCAGTTCTTGGATCTTGTAGCTCAGCCTGGCTCTGAGATGGTACCTGAGTGCAGGATTGAAGCAACAGAGCAGAACTGTTCATACCCATGTTTGCTAAACTCAGCTGTTCTTTGGAAATTTTTAGGAGAAAATGGAACCAAAAGAATCCTTGAAATCTTGCCTAGTTCTATGTTCTGAGCTTCCAGCGGTTCTGAAAGTTCCTGGGACATTCCTTCTTGTTCTCTTCTCCAGGCCACTCGAATTCTAATGAAACGCTCTGCTTGGTTTTATAAGCTTCTCTGTAAAATGCTTCCAGTTTGTTGAAAAAACAAACCCCACTGCCCTACGTCTGAGCTCTCGCAGCACAAGCCTTTAAAGAAAAAGTGTCAGAGGCTATTGTGCCAAGGCCAGAATTTAACCACTGTCAATAAAAACCACCCAGCAAATGACTGGGCTGATTCTTTTGAGGGCTGATTCTTTTTTAATTTTATAATGATTTGTCTTAAAGGAGAGATAACTAATTTTATTTTAAAGAATATTTGCAGACATCTTTGATAATGCATAAATAGGTGACCTGGTTACCTCTCCTAGAGCAGTCCCTAGGCTACCCCACAGTGAGCAGCTGAGAAAGTCTCCATGCCTTGACCCCTTCCTTCCCAGGGGGAAGCTGTAGAGTGGGGTTTAGGGGCTAAATGAGCCTTTCTAAGTTTGGTTGGTTTAGCTTTGAAATCCTATGGGTGTTCTTTTTGTTTTTTGGGTTTTGGGGTTTTTTTTTTTTTTTTTTTTTTGAGAGTTTTGTTGATTCTACTTGGCCATTTCTGTAACAGGAGTAGAAATTGAAATAGTTTTTTTTTTTTCTCTGAAATTTAAATCCTGTCTATCTTTATTTTTTTCTGATAAGTAAGGTAGGAAGTTTCCTATGCTTTTTGCCTTCGAATTACTTTTTAAACTATTTAATTGGTGAGAACAGATCTCGTTTTTCTTCCATGGCATTGGAGTGTGAATTGTGGTTTGGGGGCGGAAGGACATCCAGCTGTTTAGTTATTGTTAATTAAGTCCTCATGTGGAAGAGCCCAGGCAGGTTCTGGAGTGTGCAGGAGCAGTCTGAATCAGGAAAGGCGCACGCGCACACAGGGCAGGCACTGCTATGGGGAGCTCTCTGCTGCCCTCCCACCCGAACCTCTGCAGAGTTGCAGCCTTCTCCATCCTTACTTATGACGTCCGGGACTGCTGGGTGTCTCCTCTGTCAGCTGCTACTTTTCCCATCCATTCTCTGTCCTCTAGGAGCTGGTCATGAGTCTAACCAATGTGCTAGGGGAGAGGAGAACTCAACGCCACCCCCTAGAGGGGGCATCTTTGTGTATTATTTGGAATTCCTCTATTAGGAAGATTTGTGTCTTCTCCCCATTTATTTATCAAACATCACATTTAGTTCCACTTTGGGTTGTGGTCCAATGTTATTACTCATTGTGGTATCAAATGTCTGGCTCTGATCAATAATGGGTCTTCCTGCTTGTCTCCTATGTCCCTGTGACAGGCCTCCATACTTTATTCTTTGAACACGTCCCTCCTTTCTGTGACAGGATGCTACAGGTTCCTCTCATATTTCCCAGCCCTAAAACCAGCCATTTCTTCAGGAGCCCTGGTTCCTTTTATTAGAGGGTGGTGTTAGAAACCCACATCTGGGTGCCGGGAATACCCATTGCTACAGGGTGTTGTTGCTTCCAGACCCTCTTAGCAGGCAGAGCTCAGTTACATATGTGTTTGTACACACGTGTGATCGCTTCTCCAAGTATCCTAAATATATGCTCAGGTAAATGGGAGGTCAGTACACATGTATATGCTGGCCTCCCCTTCTTGCTTATCTGTTACTTCCTTCTGTGCTTCTGAAATCTTACCCCACCACCCACCACTGTTTGTTTATTCGCTTATCCCCAGTGCACATGCAGCGCAGTTTCAGAATTGTTCACCTACTTCCATGAGAAAAACCAACTAGACTCCAGTGTTTATATACAGTTCCTTTTGTCTTTGTCCTTACAGTTTTCACTCAAAACATTTTCCAAAATTACTTAGGCCAGCCCTCCCTTGCCCTTCAGTTCAGTGTGATCTGTTATACATTTGCAGGGTTCAATTCATTTGTCACAGTCTGCATTCCATCCTGGCATCCCCTGACCTCCTGGCTAGGTTGTTTTGATAGTTTGTATACATTAAGGTTCATTTTTTGTGATGTACAGTTCTATGGGTTTTGACAAATGCATAGTTATCCATCACCCAGTACCCTACAGAACAGTTCTGTTCCCCCAAAATTCCCCTGTGTACATAATCACAACTTCCCCGCACCAGCCCCTGGCATGCTCTGACCTGTGT